GGGGGGGGTGTGGGGTTACGTGTTGTATCACACTCCCTAAATATTAGGGCGCTGTGTGTGGGAACACCAAACTGCACTAGGGCATCAAGAGCAGTGTGACAAATCCTTCTTCTTCCTTTTTCATTACATTTACCTATTTGAATTCAGTTGGATAGAGGCTTGTTGGCAATGTGTCATCTGAAATAAATTGCTTTTCAAATACTGAATTTAATTTCTTTCTTCCTTCAGTAAAAACAAGTAAAGACTCCCTCGAGGTAGTTTACTGAGCAGTATGGCTTGCCCATGCCTTCTCCTAGGATTTTTTTCAGCTTCTTATGATAGCCTGTCACTGGTGGTCTCCCTTCCAGGATCAAATCAGTCAGACCCTGCTTAGCATTTTACAGGATCAGTTAAGGTCATTTAGGGCTGCTTAGTTATTTTTTCCTGTTCAATCATTCCCTTAAAAAAAATCTAGTGGAGTCTTACCTTACACAGTCCTTAAATGTGTACTTAGATACCATATGTAATTAAAAATAATGAAAAATAGGCCTCGTCTCAATTATAAACATGGGAAAGACCTAGACTTGGAATAAAGGAGGTTTCTTTATTTAGCATTATTCTTCTGCAGTTGGTTCTTAAAATCATTGTAACAGAAGATTCTGCCATATGCTGCCAGCTTGTCCAGGCAGAGAAAAAGCCATTACTGACAATGATCCAGCTTTGCTGTTCTTTGCGTGTAGAGGAGCACTGTCAGACTGCCCCTTGGAGTTGCTTCTATAGTTTGCCTGGGCAAGGTGACAGCTGGATCATCCGAGGCACAGTAGGGGTGAATGCTGACCGGGCTCCAGCTTTGTGTGCACATTTGTTCATGCAGAGCCAGAGCCCTATCAAAACTTGCTCTGGGCTTTGCTTGGATAAAGGATCTCTCAGGCTGGATGAGAAAATGTGGTTGTTTTGATTAGTATTAGTATTGTTAGGTGTTTTTATATGAACTGACCAGATCTATTCTCTCAGATAAATGTGCAGATCAGAACCAAATTATCCATTACATAAAACATGCTAAGAAAAAAGGAATGACTCAGTTTTTAAATAGCCAGTTTTGATCACATGGAAAAGTATTGATAAATCTTTCTTTGTGTTGATATAGTTCATAGATGGGAAGTAAGTACAGATCATCAGTTCAACATATAAAATCTGGTGTAGCAGGATTTTTCCAAAAACAAACTTTTTAGCTAATAATCCAGGCATAGTAAATCCAGAGTTATTTTTAAATTGTTATGTTCCAAATTTTTGGTATATAGTTCAATATTACATTAATGTATTTAAATCTTATTTTTCTTCTCAGTACTCAATATTAACAAACTTAACAATATTACCGTATTTTTCCATCAATAAGACACTTCTTTTCTGCACTTTCTA